GAGCCCGCGGGTTCGAGACCCGCCCGGGCAACTTGGCGAGACCTCATCTCTACAATAAATCAAAATGAGCCAGGTGTGGTAGCGTGCGCCTGTAGTTCCAGCTACTTGGAAGGCTGAGGTGGAAGGATCGCCGGAGCCCAGCAGGTCGAGGCTGCAGTGGCCGGGAGTGGCCACTGCACTCCAGTCTGGGCGACAGAGTGAGACTCCGACTCAAAAAAAAAAAATTAATTAATTAAATTTAATTTAATTAAAATCAAAGAGGCACACCCTACAATCCAGCCATTCCACTCCTAGGTATGTACACCCAAGACATGTACAAGAACAGCTGAAGAATCGCCACTTGTAACTACCCAAAGGGGAGAACCATCCCCAAGGGTGGTAGTGCACACTTACAGGGGAAAACCACAGACACAAGCTGGAACCATGGCACCCATGGTGGGATTCGGACAACTGAGCACAGGAGAGACAGGACCCGAAAGGACTGCAGACAGGACCTGGAACATGTAGGCTGGGAGCAGCCTGCAGAAGGCCGAGTTGCAGGCAGAGAACAGCCAGGGCCAGGGTGGTGTCTGCAAGGGCAGGAAGGAGCCCCACAAGGAAGGAGCTGGAGGTCAAGCAATCCCTTGATTGAGAGGTCACCATGGACCATCAATGATAAAGCCGCCAATGACCTTAGTAGGACAGTCTCAGTGGGAGGAAGCCACCACAGGGATTACAGTGGCCAGGGAAGGAAGGGCAGGAAGTGCGGCTGGGAGGGAGCTCAGGCCCACCACAGCCTGGCAGATGGCATGTTTGCGTGTGACTAAGATGGAGGAACCTGAAGCATGACCCCATAGGAGCAGGGTCCCTAAAGAGATGGCACGGAGGGGTCCAGGACTGCAGCAAATAAGGAGTTGGCTAGGGGGAATGGCACAGGCCTGAAGAAGCATCAGGGATGCCTGAAGAAACCCACCATAACCTGGAGGAAAAGCTGAGGTCATAGCCTGAGCCAGCAGGACACTGCTCTGAGTTCAGTAGCCCAGGCAATGTGAGCAGGGGCCTGATGGAGGCTGACCCTGGACAAGAGGTGGGCAGGGGTTCCAATCAGACGGAACAGGGGCTACACAGTGGCCCAGGGAGAGGGCCCCACCCCAGAGGTCTCGTGAGCCCACCCAACATATCTGTGCCTGGCCTTCATCCCACGTGGGCCCCCACCAGGGAAGGAGCTGTGACATGCTAGGCGACACTTCCCTCCTGTGTTCTCTCCCTCTTTCAGTCATCACCAGGCATGCCAGTTTCTTCCATACCTCAGTCACCATTCCATCCCCTCCAAGATGCTTTCATCACATTTTAGTATCTTCAAAACTGGGTTGCATCTGACAATCGCTGACATGTCAGAGTTTAATTGACGTGGTTTTCCTCAGTGGACTATGAAATTCAGCACAGCTCACGATGGCTGGGGTCTCAGATAGGAGTACCCTTGATGAGACAGTCTCCTGGCCTGTGACCTCCCTTCCAGAACACCTCTGGCAACACGCTCTCCAGGTACCTCCTCTCATTCCCACCACCTCCCCCCACTGCCTTCCACACCGCACCAACCCACCCATGCTGAGACAGCCTCCAGCGCCAGCCTCCCCCAGTTTGGAGGGAGTGCATGCAGACACCACACAATTTTCCTGGTACCTTTCCCCCAAGTCAGTCACCAGTGGGGTGTCACCGGGCCCTCTGCGACCATCAAGCTCACAGTCTAGTCCCACTTTATCAAGTGTCATCTGCTGCTATACCCCCGGCACCAATCCCACGTGTAGTCTCTGCCATAGGACCACCTCTTGCAGCCACCACGGTGTGACCTTTGGGTCTGCACATTCTGTAGGACTTGACAGACTGCTGTCCATGCTATCTAGCTTAAAGGACCCCTACCACCATATGGCTGGAGGTCATCCACCCGCCTCTGCTGCCTCCAGGCAGGCCCCTGGGCCTAAGAATTCTCCAAGGTAAAGCAGCCCCCAGGGATGCTCGCCTGCTCCAGCAGGGATCAAAGCACAGCCAGGTAAAGCTGTCAACCAACTTAGGTCTCTGTGGCTCCTCATTCAACACAGCGACAGGCAGGGCAAGCACGTACTGCACTGTTCAACTGGACACTTGTAAGAATAAAAGGGATGTTGTTGACTAAGCATGAAACAGAACAGCTCTGGGCAAACTGGAATGTAGAGCCAGCCTACTAATAGGGAGGTGGAGACCCCAAACCTAGAAAACTACAGGAACTGAAAGAAAAGACTGCCACTAGCGACAGCAAACACTTGTCAGGGCCAAGTGCAGGGCAGCCACCATGCTAGGCCATCTACACACGCAGCTGACATCCCCATAGCTGGGCCAAGAAGAAGGCACCCTGACAACACCCAGGTCAGAGGTGAAAGTCACCAAGCAGAGGTGACTCCAACCGTTGTCCCTCCCAGGGCCTCAGCAATTGAGGCCAGACCCCACTGCTGTGGCTGGCCTGAGCCTCCCCAGAGTTTGCCTCAGCTCCTGCCTGTACCCCACGGCAGGTTCTTGGACTCCCTGAAATAGCCGCTTCCCATTGACAGCCATGTGGCCCTTGCTCAGAGACTGCCACTCCACTCCAGGCAGGGAGAGGAGTCTTATTGGATATCGGATGGATCTATGTAGAATCTTCCTCCTCCACGGGACCCAAGGCCTTCAGAGACTTCTGTGGGGGAGGAGGTGAGGAGTAGGGATGGGAAACAGAACCCCAGTCTCCAGTCTCCCGGTCTCAAACTCTTTCTCACGCACAGTCATACGTCTAGGAACACAACATAAGGTAATATTCTGTTGTCTAGCAAACAAACAATGGATGTTCTGGAGTTAGAATCAGTGATGCAATTGCTGGTTGTTCTACGTTCCTTTGGAGTTTCTGATATTCAAAGTTTCTTAGGCTCACTTTCCCTTCATGTTCTGGGTCTTTTTCAGACAATGAGACAGCTAGAACATGATACCGAAGCAGGGGCCAGGAAGATACTGCTCTGTGGTTAGACCTGGTGAACCCTTGAAGACTCCCAGAGAAAGCCTCTAAGCACTGCCCCATCCCCTCACCCTCGTTTCTGGCTGATGGCCACAGAGCAACAGCCGAGCAAGTGAACCCTTCTCACCATCCCTGTCCTACTCAGAAACCAACATCACAACTCGTCCCAAATCTAGCCCAGTCCTTTAGGAAGACTGGGCCCCTACTTCCTTCATGCCCCACTTCCCACCCTCTCTATGTGTTCTTGACACTTTCCACCCAGAAATCTACTTGCTGGTCCCCATTTACATCTTGGAGGCTTCGCTCAAGCTGCCTTCTCTGCCCATACTATCCTACTCATCCTTGGGGGTCCAGCCAAAAGACCACCTTTTACCTGGGGCAGGATGGAGAGAAGTACGCCCAGCTCGCTTCTGTAATCAGAGACATGTCCTATATGGCCGCCACCCCATCAGGTCCTGTGCTCCAGCGGTGGCGCCCCCCACCCCACGGTCGTGGTCAGTAATCACTGCCCAGGTAGTTCCTCGAGGGCAGGGATTCCCCCGCCCCTAGGCCCTGGAGCCAGCGCAGCACCGCAGCACCAGGAGACCGGGAACGTGGGGAAGGCGCGATAAGAGGCGGAAAGGAGAACTGGGGAAGGGTCTGGTCAGCGGTGCTCCGAGAATCAGAACACATCCTCAGGAATGTCCTCTTTGGAAAACGGGGAAAGCGGGACGTCTGTCAACCTCGGCTGCAGCAGCAGCAGTTTCAGACGGCAGAGAGGGCGGGCCCGAAGCGAGCGTCCGCAGCGGGCAGATCCTCGCCGGTCCTGCAGTCCCATCTCTGTCCTCCCCCCAGCGGGAAAGG